CACCCAGGGAACACCACCATGGATGGTGAGTTAGTGCAGGGCTTTCTTTTTCCTCTATCACAGTGGCCTTAAATCTAGACAAAAAACTGCAGAGAAGGTCTGTTGACAACAGACTAGGCCACTCTGAGTGGCTGCCCATTTTGCCTCTTTGAACTACAAATTTCCTGAGGGCAAGGATGTTTCGGCTCAACTCTGAAAAGTTCGTCTCATCTTTTTACCTGTGAGTGTCAGCAAATGACCTGACAAGGTCTGCGGGACTAGACCCAGGAGGACTAGCTCACAGGCAGGCATGAATCTCCTGGAAGTTCCCTCCTAAGGATTGGATTGGTCCTCCCACAAGAAGGAGGTCTGGACGTCTGTTCCCAATCCCCTGGCTCCTGGAACAGCACCCCAATTTTACCCACAAAGCCTACCTCCCCACTCTCAAACACAGTGGTTGGGCCGGGGCTGGTACACCCCTGGCTCAGAGACAAGCCTCTGACTCACCAATCAATCATTGAACCATTACAAGTGACTCCTTCAGGCTGACGAAGTCCCAGCCAGGGAGACTCAATTCCTGGACCCTGAGGAATGGCAGGGCAGAATGACACCATTCTGTCCACTGGAATGGGAGCTGGGGGGATTTCAGGCAGCAGGGGACAGAGCTGACCAGCCCCGTGGCAGAGAGGGCCTGCTGAAAGAGAGACCAAGTCCTGACAATACCATGCCCAGAGTGAGACCAACCAGGGGCCTTCCAGCCACATACACCAGGCTAAGGCACACCTCCGGGCCCATCAGAAAGGCTGCAGCTCATGTCATTTGACCCACTTGGACGGCCTGGCTGCTAAAGGCATGCGCTGCACAGACGCTGCTTGGGGCTGTCAACATGGTCTATTCTGTTCCATAGGATGACTGAGAGGCAACAAAACTCACTGGTTCAAGAGCAGATGCCCTGGGTTCAAATCCTACTCGGTCACTTACTAGCTGTATGATCTTAAGTTCATGACCCTCAGCATCTTGACCAGTGAAACGAGGGTGATAACAGTACCCAGTGATTGGGGGAAGTAAATGACTGTCAAGTACTCAGAATGGTCCCTGGCACGTAGTAGATACTCACTAAACACGGCCTCTAATTAGCTCTGATGAATTGGTCATGCATTTGCTCAGACAGCAAACAATCATAAAGTGCCTACTGTGTGCCAGATGCTGTGCCAGGTGCCCCAGACACTCGGTAAAAGGACATGTCCCCTGTCCCTGAGGCTCTTACAATCTTTTGGAGAAGACAACAAGCAGCCACAAAGCGTGGTGAGCTGCCATGGTAACCCATGACTTTGACCTCACCGCAGCCCAACCCTGACCAGTTGAGCTACTTGGACGCAGCGATGAAAATGACTAATGCCCACACAGGGGAAGTTGGGAGGTGGCCAGGGGAGTGGGCAGCAGGAACAGAGCAGAGGCCTAGCCCTGGACCGGCCTCTGCTCCTCGGCCACAGAAGGACCTGCACTGGGCCAGCCCCTGCCCATGAAGAAAGAGGCTGTTGTCACCAGCCATCTCGACAGGCTGCGAGCCCTCCCTGTGGGAGAGGGATTCCCTCCCACTGATTTCTAGGGTCAAGAGCCGACATTCCTGAGGCCTCTGTGGCACGGGCAGCATTCTCCCTTCCTCCCGGGGGAATCCCAGAGGCAGGGCGAGTCCGGCCAGCCGGTCTTTTGCCTTTTGCCCCTCGTGCCCAGCAGAGCACCTGGTTCAACAAGCAAAAGGTGCAGAGCCAGGGCTGGGGGTGTCCACTGGACCCCCTGCCACCCACCGGACGGAGCCATCATTTCTTGCCAGTGTTCTGGTGCTGACCTAGGAGTTTTACGTTATCTCACTCCAAGTATCAGATGGGGCAAATAAAGCCCAGAGAGATCAAGTTACTTGTCCAACGTCACACAGCAGGTCACTGGGCGGCCTCCTGGGATTTGTGGGATCGGGAACTGGTTCCCAGCAGCCCTGGCCTGCACAAGGGCATGAGTGCTCTGGCAGGCAGGCTGGGTTCTGCCATTCAAAAGAGCTTGGTGGCTGTACCTATAGGCAGCCCCTGGCTTTGGGGCTGGGTGGCCCTGTCACACTTTCCCAAGGCTGGGAGCTGAATTTGGGCGGGCCCCGGTGGGGTGGTTGTCTCAGGCCTGCTTGATAATTAGGGCTCCACAGTGGTGACTGAGGGGCCCTGGCTGAGAGCTGAGCAGGGCCTGGGCTTCCGCATGCTTGGGGTGGGAGTGGGGGCCCCTTTCCCGAGGAGCAAAGGCGCAAACTAAGAGGAGTCGCTTCCGTCCACCAGCTCCCTCACCTTGGAGTAAAGAGCCGAAGGTTGAGGACCTAGCGAGACGCCTCATCAGATCCAAGTAAGGGAGAGGTGTCTGGGGTGATTTGCTAACACAGTGATTTTCCAGCCTACTCCTTCTTCTCTTTAAATCCATGGCATTCTTTAAAAACACACACAGGGTCTTACATGGAATTATAAGCTACGGAGCAGACAGAACGGAAGCCAGTCTAGTTCCATGGAGGTGGGGACCCCTCAGAACCCCATGGGCAGCAGCTCCACGGTCCACTTTCCTGGAGCCCCTCGGGTACTCTGGAACACAGTTTGGAAATGTGGTTTTAAAACATCAACTGGTGCCCGGCTGGCATGGCTCAGTGGTTGAGCGTCGACCTATGAACCAGAAGGTCATGGTTCAATTCCCGGTCAGGGCACATGCCCTGTTTTCTGGCTCGATCCCCAGTGTGGGGCATGCAGGAGGCAGCCAATCAATGACTCTCTCTCCTCATTGATGTTTCTATCTCTCTCTCCCTCTCCCGTCCTCTCTGAAATCAATAATATCAATCAATCAATCAAATAACATCAGCTGGTGCTGGGGTCTGCCTTGGGGGCTGTCGGGGCGCAGATGGCTGAGTCTATAGGCAGGGGACAGTTATCCTTGAACACCCCCAGGGGTCCCTTTCAGTGTGGACAAAATGCCCACATGGTTCATTGATCCAAATACTTTCTAGCCCCTTCCCTGAAAGGCCACTGAAAGGGAATTCAAGGTCACCTTCCCTAAAGCAGGGGATGGCAGTGGAGTCAGACAGGCTTGGGCTGGGTGGCCTTTGCTGGCATGAAGCACCACCAGGCCACAGATCTGTACTGTCCACCCCGGGCTTGGTCCTGGCTTCTGGGTTACAAGACACCAGGCGGTCCCCTGCCACTGACTTGAGCTCCAGTCCTGGACCTAAATCCAAACCGGAAGGAGTTAGATGGGTTTTGATCAGATCTAGTCCAGGCCTTTTTAACCTGGAGTCTGAGATAGGCACGGGGGTGGGGCTGGGGTCCCTTAAAAGTATAAAAACGTGAATCTTTGTGCATTCTTCTTGGGACATTCTTCAGATCCTCTAAGGCAGCGGTTCTCAACCTGTGGGTCGCGACCCCTTTGGGGATCGACCGACCCTTTCACAGGGGTCGCCTAAGACCGTCGGAAAACACATATATAATTACATATTGTTTTTGTGATTAATCACTATGCTTTAATTATGTTCAATTTGTAACAATGAAATTGGGGGTCACCACAACTGTATTAAAGGGTCGTGGCATTAGGAAGATTGAGAACCATTGCTCTAAGGGCTCTATAACCAGCAAAAGATTAAGACTCACGGTAACCCCCTCAGTGGCCACCTCCTTCAAGAAGTCTTCTAAGGTTTCCTTTAATTTATAGTGATCTCTCCCTTCTCCGTTCTATCACAGCCCTAGGATCACTGCAAAGGCTCCAGCTTAGTGACCTCGGGTCTCGCTGGAAGGAGTAGCGCTCACTCTGTCCCTGAGAGCTGGCTCCTCGCATATTTGAGGTGCTACACTGTACTGCTGCTGGTTTTCTGCTTATCAGTTTCTTGTTTGAAGCAGAGCCTGATAACCAATGACTACTTTAATCCCCTGGCAAGTGTCCCAGTCATTGTATGCAAATACTGCTACTCAGTGGCTAAAAGATTGTTTTTGTAAAAGTAATTTTAACTACATCCTGCGCCATCCTGTTGACTCCGCGGCTGCTTATCGGCCCGCCCTGCAGAACCCCGTGTGCGCCAGGCCCCACTCTGCCACAGCTTGTCTCTTGACCTCTCCATGACCCCGACCGGGGTAGGCAGCCGCTGAGGTGATTTCTTCTGGCAGGAAAGGCCCTGCTTTTGAAGCTCGGAATCGGGGGGTTCAAAGTCTAACTCAGGCCAAGCATCCTGGACAACTCACTTCAGCTGCATCTTAGAAATGGGCTGTTGATCATACCCGCCCTGGGCATGGGCCACACAGTGAACGTGCGAAAGCCCTGTACGGTAGCACAGTCACGTGCGGTCCTGTGGTCACATAGAGGACCAGTCACATATCGCAACCTGGCCGCCACTATCCATCATGTCTGGCACCACAGTCACGTGACTGCTGTAGTCACTATGGCGCTACAGCCACACGGAGTACCACTCACACTCAGTACTGCAGTCACAGACAATACTACAGCCACGTGTAGTACCACGTCACATATGCTACTGTAGTCACATACAGGACGACTTGGTCACCTATAGTACGAGGAGCTCAAGGATAGGTGGGGAACTGCGAGGAGGCCAGTGTGGCGGGAGCACAGAGAATGAGGGGTGAGAGTGTGGTGTGTGAGGGGGCCTGGCGGGGGTCGGGGAGCTGGATAAGGGATGGGGGGCAGGGCAGAGGCGGGCGGTGGGGGGGAAAGGTTAGGGGGCAGGGCACTTTCCCCCCTCAGGCACTGGGGATATGGCAGTGAGCAGTGCAGACAAACATCCCCACCTAGAGCTGACAGTTTAGTGAGGGGCAGACAGGTAATAAACAAGACACGTAAAATAACCGGTTAGAGCGTAGTACTGGTAAGTGGGAAGGAGAAAACAAAGGAGGCAAGGCCCACAGATGAGACCATGGCGGGAAGGAGGGAGCAGGAGTCCAGGCTCGGGTTTGCTGAATGACTGAATGAGTGCCGTCAACCATTGGTGGCCTCACCTGTCCTGTCCACTCTCTTTCTCGGACCCCAGACATGCCCGCATCTTCATAACTCCTTCTAAGGGCCTCACCGGTCCACGGGAGACAAGCGCACACTTGAGGTTCACTTTCCTCCTGCTCGTTTGGCTTCAACTGCTTCCTGACCTGCGTGCTTCATCTGAATAATGTCTCAAACATTTCCCTTCAAATACCGTGTACACTTGGTACATTTCTCAGCTTGTGTCTTCTGCCGCCAACAGGGAGCACGACGCCTTATCACAGTCTAAGTGTGCTCCTGCTTTTGCCCAAAGGCCAAGGAGAGGGTGTTGGGGCTGGAGCGCTTCCTGCACAGGTGCCCAGAAGGATGCTGGAAGGATGCAGGTGGGAACCAGGTCTTCGAGGACAAGTGGCAGTGATTGCCAGGTCTCTTTCCAGGATAGAAAAGGATGGCTAGGCCCTGCCGGCATGGCTCACTGTTTAAGCATTGACCTATGAGTTAGGAGGTCACGGTTTGATTCCCGGTCAGGGCATATGCCTGGGTTCTGGGCTCGATCCCCAGGGTGGGCATGCAGAAGGCAGCCGATCAATGGTTCTCTCTCAGCATTTATGTTTCTCTCTCTTTCTCTCTCTCTCCCTCTCCCTTCCTCTCTGAAATCAATAAAAATCCTATCTAATAAAGACGGAATATGCAAATTAACTGTCACTCCACGACAAAGATGACAGCGCCCACAGCCAATAAGGAGGGAATATGCAAACTGATGCGACAAAGATGGCGGTGGCTGGGCCGGGATGCTTGTGTTCAGCCCCGTCCTGGCTGCTCCAGGCCTCTGGGCAGCACGGGCGCGCAGGCACAGAGCGGCCAGGGCAGGGCGGGTCGCCTGCTATCTGAGCAGCGCACGAGCAGGCGTGGAGTGGCCAGGGTGGGGTGGGACGCCTGCTACAGGGGGTGGAGGGAGCTACAGGAGGGCGGCAGGGCCGGAGCGAAGGTGGAAGGCGGCAGCCAGAGCGAAGGCCCAGGTCCCGGAGGGAAGCCGGTGCTGGCAGCCAGGGGAAGGAAGGCCTATTCTTGCACAAATCTTCATGCATTGGGCCTCTAGTACATTATAAAAAATAAAAGAAAAGGATAGCTAAGAGCTAACTTCTCCTGAATATGGTCGAGATCGTTTTCTCAGTGATACCTCAAACAATAAGAAGATGGAAATGAACCAGCAGAAGTACCCAGCATGCTAAGGAGGTTGGGAGGGCTCTGTGCAGGGGTCCACAGAAGCCCTGGGCTTAGAAAAGCTGAAAGTTCAGAAGCACCTGGAGTGGGCTAGGTAGACCAAAGCAGGGACTGTGACCTCAACCACTGAGCCATGCTGGCCCGGCCAGAGCAGGACCTCTTGATTCAGGTTCAGTGCTACTGGACCTAGGGAGAATTTTTTGAAGCCCAAATAGACAATTTGGTGATTTTAGGATAATAAACAGGAAGTTGTGCTTGACATGCTAGTCGGAAAACTTAGGCCACTCATTACCTTGAAAGCTACAGGTTGGAAATATTAACTTCTCCTACAAGAGAAGAAATGAATCCATGGCAGATGGCTACCGGGTGGCTCCCTTACAGTTGTGGGGATGGGGTGGTCCTACCCACCGAGGGTGTGTTTTCTGAGTTGCTGCTTTTTCATTAAGTGGAATCTGATGGCTAGCAAGAAAGGCTGAATGAGCAGCCACAAGGACAAGCTGTTTGTACAGGAGTCTCCTGGCAACTCAGGGAGGTTGGCAATTGGTTCCTTTCCTGGGATGGCCGATCCACATATGAGAATTGTAGAGCGGGCCAGGATCTTAGTGGTCACTGTGTCCCTCTCATTTCACAGGTGTGTTTCTTAGCTGCAGCGGAAGCGGGGTCTCAGCAGAGCCCAGTCTAGAACCCTCTGGCGCCTGGCCTCCCAGCCCAGGTGAGCCAGGCAGCAGGGGGCGCGACCCTAGAGGTGGCCGGTTTGTTCCCCAGGGGAAGGAGGTGGGGTGGACAGAGGGAGGTGTCTGTCTATTCATGGGACAGGCCGAATTGTGAGGCCATTGTCTGAAACCTCAGGACCGGATGCTAAGAGCTAAAAGGCTTTTCCTCCATGTTGCAGGTAGGACGGTTGCCTACCTGCCTACCAATTGGAAGCCTGGTACTTTTCCCAGAAACTCCCACCAAAGGCCGCATTTGGGGTGAGGATCGGGGAGATGGCACTGCTATCTCAAGCTCCCCATGCCTTTGTGACCGTCATCACATGCCAACTGTTTAGTGCAGCAATTTTGCCCTGATGACTCTGCGTCGTCCCCTAAGATGACCAGTCTGAACCCCTCTCCTCTCTCTCCTTTTTCCTGTTCTCATCCGTACTGGCCCAACGCTGAGTGTGAGGTACGAAATCCCTGCTTACCTCTCAAGCTCTGCAATAGTTTCCTTCTTTGCCTTCTCCCTCCCTCCTTCAATTCCAGCCCGAACCCAGCCTTTGATCAGATGGTTTCTTGCACCTGGATCACCCTTCTTACATCCCTTCTGGTTGACTCCTTTTTTTTTTTTTTAAATATATGTTATTGATTTTTTACAGAGAGGAAGGGAGAGAGATAGAGAGTTAGAAACATCGATGAGAGAGGAACAACAATCAGCTGCCTCCTGCACACCTCCTACTGGGGATGTGCCCGCAACCAAGGTACATGCCCTTGACGGGAATTGAACCTGGGACCTTTCAGTCTGCAGGCTGACGCTCTATCCACTGAGCCAAACCGGTTTCGGCTGGTTGACTCTTTTTTTAAAATATATAGAGGAAGGGAGAGGGAGAGAGAGAGAGATTGAAACAGGAATGATGAGAGAAAGTTGTTGATGGGCTGCCTCCTGCACATCCCCCACTGGGGATCGAGCCCGCAACCCAAGCATATGCCCTGACCAGGAATTGAACCGTGACCTGGGTCATAGGTCGACGCTCAACCACTGAGCCACACCGGCTGGGCTGGTTGACCTTCTTCAGGGCTCACTCAAATGCCACTTCACCCATGAAGCTGTCCCTGAGCTAGTTTAACAGCTCCACGGGGCCTCCTCTGTTTTGTGTCCCCTCAAAATTCATGTTTACCTGGAACCTCTGAACATGACCTTATTTGGAAATAGGGTGTTGACATAGGAAATGTCCAAACCTGTAGAGAATGTTTTTATGAGTCTATTTGAGCCAAACTGACAACGGCCAGAAAGCAAAATCTCAATGAATTGAGAAGATGCTCTGGAGAATGGCAGCTTTGCAGCTCGGTTTCCACTAGAATCAAAGGAGGAGACACAGGAGGGTGACATGAAATCCAATGCGGGTAGATTAAGGGGGCGGGAGAACGCAAAGGGGAGAGGGAATCCCTGGGGTTGGATAAAAAGAAAAATGGAGAAACACATACTTCTCTTACATCGCTGGGTACGGGATAGCTAGCAGTTAATCTTTACAGCACACAGAGATGGTGTTCAGGGAACAAGGGAACAGTGAAGGGTCTCTGGTCTCTGCTCCGGTGCTTGGATGAGCCCTGAGGGGCCTGATAAAGGAGATGCCTCTGACAGTTCAAAGGCACGTTATCTCAGATGCAAAAGACAACGGACAGGCTCCCTTAAGGTAAAGCTTGATCTTCGTCAAGGAAACCACAGGCCCAGGATGTGACTACCACGATGACTCACTTTTCGTGAGGGATTTTCATGTTCCGGTCACCCTGTGTGGTTACTTTCCGTCTGAGTTCGCAGGGCCTGCCATGCTGGCCTCCCCTGAGCTTGTCAGGGTTTGTAGGTGGCCCCTTTTTTGTCCACAAAGGTCTTTGGAAAGGTAATTGGTTAAGGAGCTCAAGATGAGGTCACACTGGATTTAGTGTGGGCCTTAAATCCAATGCGTGTGTCCTTATAAGAAGATGAGAGGACACAGACACACAGAGCGGCAAAGCAGACACCCACGTGAAGACAGAGGCAGAGACTGGAGAGAGGCTGCCACAAACCAAGGACACCACCCAGGAGCCACGGGGAGTCACCAGGGGCTGGAAGAGGCAAGGAAGGGTTGTCCCCTAGAGTCTCTGGAGGGAGTGGGGCTCTGCCAACACCTTGATTCCAGATTCCTGGCCCCCGGAGCTGTGAGAGAATATGTTGCTATTGCTGTAAGCCACCAGGTTTGTGGCAATCTGTGATGGCGGCCGCGGGAAACTAATGCACGCTGTAATCTGTGCCTTCACTGTAAGCACCTGGCCACGTCTCTCTGTCTTTATTCATCTCTATTGTATCCACCCCCTAACCTGGACCCAGAGCTGCACCAACACTGGCAGACACTCAGCAGGCTTGCTGAGGTCTCTCGAAGGCTGCCGTCCTGGGGCAAATGGGCCTGGGCCTGCCCCGGTGTCAGGAAGGAGAAGAACATGGGATTTGCTGAATGGAAGTGATGGAGAATGGGATTCACAGATCTACATCAGAGGCTCGTTCACGGCTAGCTGCTTTAGGAACAGGGCTAGAGACGCACACACTGTACATTCAGTAGTAGCAAGCAGACGCAACTGCGAGCCAGTTCTCGCGCCACCTCCCTGAAATGGGTCCCTGAGTCCCGGCTCTACCCCTTCTCGATGGGTGCTCAGGCCCTGGTGTGTGGCCCCTGCCTCCGCAAGCCTGCCATCATGGCTTAGGCCTCTGGTCGAGCCACTTCCTCGTACTGGACCCAAGGCTGGAACAGCCACTGCAAATACTTCCAAACAAACAGTCCGCTTCTCCTCCTCCTCCCCCTCCTCCTGCAAAAACCCTGTCAAGGTCAAAGACTTTGGAGGCTGGGCCAGCTGACTAGCTGGCCAGGAGCCTTTGGGGGGAAGAGGGATGGGCCCGAGCTCTATAAATGCTTTCACGGGAGGAGCCCTAGGAGGACGTGGAAAATAAAAAGGAAGACCCTTCTCCTTAGAGACCCTAACCTTGCCTGGCCCTGCCGTGGCGCCCTCGGTACATGGTGGGGACCTTTCTAACTCCTGGAGCCTTTGTGTCCCTTTAAGAAAAGCCCTTATTTGGGTCACCTTTACGGCCTAAGGCACACTACTGTCCACAAATATTGCCAAATCCTGTTTGACTCAAGGTCATTGTGTGAAACTGGATAGGCACTCGCCCCCAAAAGTAAACAGACCTTTCCTGGACCTGCTGGCTGTTTTGCAGACTCTGCTCTTCCTCCTTTCTTTCTCTCTGGGGGCCTGTCCCCCTCAGAGTCCAACCCACCCCAAATCCAAGCTGGAAAAGGAGGGACAGTCATCTGTGGTTTGACACTACCGCCTGTGTAACCTCACTGCAGGCTGCAGGGGGCGCTGCCCTCCCAGCTCTCTCCAGCAGCTCCAGGACCTACCTAAGGCCCATGGTTCACCCACCCCGCAGTCTCCTGGAAATTCCCCCCTCCACCACACTTGCCCCTTGGTCCCCAAGTCCACTGGGCCCCCAAACACTCCTAGATCTGGAGAGTGTCCCAAGGCCCTCTCACTGGGCCCAGATGGGCTCAGGCAAGATTCCAAATTTCCCACCGTGACAGTGTGACAGAGAGAGGACAGCTCATCCGAAAGTCGCTCCAGTAATTGGCCGGATAATTATGAGTTACAGGGAGCGTTCCTGGTCATCCCGACAGGTCTGGTGACTGAACCGAGGGCGAATGGCACTGGGAGTTCCGGAGGCCCCGTGGATCCTGTTTCTGGGGACCTGGTGCCACTTTAAGATATTTCCAATTGGTCCTGGGTTCATTCGCTGGAAGAGACGGTCCAACCCGAGTGAGGTGGGGTGCGGTTCCCAGAGTGTGAACTTGCAGGGCCCACTCTCCACTCTCCCTCCTCCTCCCCCCGCAATGCCATAGACTTCTTTCAATTTAGGCTTGTTTATAGTCAGTCAAGTTTTTCCAGATTGACTAAAGGAGTTCTTCATGTGCCTACTGCAGCCAGCTACAGGAGCAGTGAGAGACCCAGGACGGAGGCCAGCTGGGAGAGTCAGAAGAAAGTTTCTGTGGGATGCAGACAGCTAAGGAATGACAATCACACGCGATATTGTGCTCAACGCCATGTCCCCCTGCAAGGACACCCTCCTCTGCCCTCCTGACCCCCTCCGAAAAGGGCTTGGGGAGCCCTTCCCCGGGGCATCACCCCGAGGAAATGAAACTGCCGAGAACAAGTCTTACTTCTCCTTTTTCTGTGTGTCCAAGGGTTAAAAACACTGCTGAACGCCCCTTCCAACTGCAAGGTCAAGCAGCTGTCCAAACCACCCAAGGAGAAGCGGGAGCCCCGGACAGCAGACCCCAGCTCGCCGGGCCAGGACGCCCCCGCCGGCTGGCGAGGGAAGAGTTAAATGGTGATCAGCTTTGGCTGATAGCTCAGGCTCCAAAGTTCAGTCCCAGTCCCAGCCACCCCGAGGAATTGTAAATCTCAGGGCAGCATTTAACAAAACAAAAGCAACCTGGAATTACATGCAGGTTTGGTTTTCTACATATTTACTTAATCTCCTAGGTATGTGGCCCCCTGTCAGCTCAGCTGGCTTCGCTGGCCTTTTCGCCCCCCCTGGCTCTCAACAGTTTAAGTTTCAAACGAATTCCCTGTTTTTGCTCTTCCTCTTCGCAGGGCTGGGTGAGTCAGCCTGGCTTGGGTCGGAGTTGGGTGACAGCCGGCTCACCCTCCCCACTCCCCGGCACCAGGTCTGGGGAAGCTGGAAGAGGCGCTGGGACTACCAAAAAGTTACAGGCAGCGCTTGGAGGCAAGGATCCCCTCCCAGGCTGTATTGGGGGGTGGGGTGGGGACAGGGCTGAAGGTAAGAACAAGGGCTCTTTATCAGCTGCCGGTTCCCCTCTCTCCAGGTTTACAAACACCTGGGCCTCCCAGCGTCTGTCAAGCCAGACTAGACCATCAAAGACCACGTCCCCTTTTTCAAACCCAAACCAAGTATCCTCTCTCTTCGTGCCTCCAGCGCTGCAGCCGCCCAGGTTGGGGCTGGGGAGCGGGTTGCCAAGGAAAATACGAAGCGCCAGCAAGCAGCCGCTGGCTCCCAGCTCCCCCCAGGAGCGCACACACCCTCCACTCGCCGCGGTGGCGGCAAAGAGGGGAAGCGAGGAGGGGGAACGCAACACCTTCCCGGGGAGGGAGGAATGGGGTGGGAAATGGGTGGGTCTCCCAAGTTTCGGGGTGGGGGTGAACAGCCAGCCAAGCCACAGATCCTCCGGGAGCAGATCAGCCCCGGACCTGCCAAAACAGACAGTCCAGTGCCCGGGAAATTTACAAGGTGAAACTGACTAGCTCAGCGTTCGCGGGTGGCGCAGAGAAGTCGGGCGGCGGG